ATCAGCAAGAGGGATACAAGCAAAAAGCTGCTTTCTAGTTATGGATACCCTGGTTGCATTGGAATTTAAGGACAGCACAGGGATCTCCAAGGGGTAAAATGAGATTCTTATTACTGATCTAGCTATGAAATCAGCAATAATAATACTTAGAAATCATGTTTGTGGCTCAAATGGAAAGAAACAATTACCCATAAACCTCTGGATCTGCATAATCAATTAAAATGAGTTAAATGGAACATATTCAGATTTTCAAAACCTAATCTAAACCCAAAATATAGCATATATCCATAACATATTTGAAGATGCATGGAGTCACATCTGTTGTTCTGGTTGGCTGATTTTAATTTTTTTTTTTTTGCATGCCAGCATATATGTGTTGACTTTTAATTTTTGTTTCTTTGTTTCTATACGTTTTTTCATAGAAAACAATTGCAGCCTTAATTTTAAACAACAATAATTTAATTTTTCCAGAAGAAGTAATTTCTGTATAGGGTTACTGTATTGATGCAAGATGTATTGCTGACATTTCAGAATTATCCATATAAAACTAGACATTTTATCATGAGAACACTCAGATTTCATGAAAGGAATTTTTAAAATAAAAATAACAATTTGAGCAAGTCCTCAATATGCCACCATTTTATATTTTACATTACAAAATAAATATTAAACAATATAACTATCCAATATGAGCCAAGTCAGTTTCAAAAATCAGTTCATTACAAAAAAGTTCAAATTGTATGAATTATCTTGATCACTGGATGAATCCAAATTAAGATACTAACCAGTTATATGGATGATAAAATGCAGTGTGGTTTACTTTAATAAAAATATTGCATTAGATATCAATCATTTCATGAGATAAGGAATTCAAGGAATAATTTGCTTTTACAATTATGTGTGTATGTTAATAGTTCAATAGAATTTGAAAAGTCTACACATAAAACACATATTAGGATCTATTATTATGTCCCATTGATGTAATGCTGATGTGACAATTATAGCCTTTATAGGTTCTTATGATACTGGATTTTTAAATTTCAACTTACCTGCCTGTTACGTTCATCCATTATCCTCGTGATCTGAATCTTTTTTCTCCCCATAGTCCCCGTTTTTCTTCTTTCGTTCGTTCCTACACTTCTGTATTTTCTTCTTCTCTTTCCTTCCTCTTTCCTGTTTCCTCAAACCAAGACTCCTTCTTTAGCACTTACACAATTCAATTCACAGACCCCTGCATCCGTTCCTGCCAAGTACACAAAAGAAGTGAATAGTTAAGTTACTCAGACAAAAATCTCAATAGAACTTGATTAGTAGTGGTATTTTATCAAGTGTCCTGAATGCATTTAGCATGTAGAACTGCTAAATAAGCAACTACATTAGAAATGAAGTCAAAAATGGTTCGGCATTATCATTATTAATTACTGACAGATGGGTTGTCAAGGTTTTTCTTAAATACCTTTGGCATTCTAGTTCTACAGACAATTATTTAGAACATTCATGCATACAAGAAGAGATTCAAAGTGTAAAGTGTTGGAGAATCCTTTTAAGGCATCACTAAAACAATTAGAGTGAATGCTCTCCTACATTTCATTGATGCACATTTTTCTGTTCTGTAATACATCGTCAGAAAAATGAAAAATTACCTGAATCAGAGAGTTAATGAAGCCTTCCATACCTATGCAAGCTAAGTAATCAAGCTAATTCACTTCTGAACGAAAACAGAAGAGATAATAATGCTTCTTATTATGCAAATAGGTTAGACCATTATTTTATTAATGTTTTATTTGATATATGGGAAATGTCAGCTGATTCTTAAATCTTTTAAAATTATTTTGCATTTAAAAAGATTTCAAAAGAAAAAATATTCATCCTTCCATCATAGTTTAGTATGTATATATTCCCTAAATACATTTGTATATATCTCCATCTACAGGAAACACAATAAATAGAACAGTTGTTGATATATTCCATGTACTAATCCTATACACTGCAAATGAACAAACAAAAACCACATTGTAAAAAGTCATAATTGCACCAAAAATCCACAATACATGGCAGCACTTCTTATATTCCACCACAAAAATGCTAGAAGCCACAATATTAATTCAACCCACTGCAAAACATAAACTAAAGATGAAAGATATATTTATGACCAATGGAGTTCCACTACAGTATAGATAAAAATATAATGCAAATTACATAAAAGCTAAAGACAGAAATCTCTCAGTTGCTTTTTGTAATCCTAAAAGTTGGCTGCAAATGTCATGAAAAGATTTTAACATAAGTTGGAAAAAACTGCTTTTGCATATTCAAATATATATAACAGTAAAATCCTATTCCTTTTAGTCAAGACTTTTTTAGGTGAGTGAGCATATAGGATTACAGCCTTAATACTTTATGCACAATTCTAGTATAACAAAATTATTATTTTTAATTAAAAGCATATAAATGTGCAGACTAAGTTTTTTTCTGTTTAATTGGACACTGGTTTTTCTAACAGCCAACCTGAACCATTATGTAAAAATAAAAAGAAACAATGATTTATCAATGTACTGTTTTTCATGCAGTAAAACTGATCCTTATTTTGATGTCCACTTTTCTCCTCTTTTTCTTAGTGGAAAGATATTTGGCTTTTTAACAGAAATTGAAGGGAACACGTGTTACTTTCCCACACATTCCACATTCTGTACACTCTGAAGATGCAATTTTAAATATCTATAACAGAACAAATTCCTTGGAATTCATTGGGCTTACTCATAGGTAGAAATGTATACGGTTATACTGCAAATCAGCATTATATTTTACAGTGTTTTCATAATATAATTGCTGGCACTATTACTTTATAGCATTAAAACCTGAGAAATTGATGTTTTTAACTATCCAAATTAGCCTATATGTTGGTGAAACAGTTCAATTTGTACAGTTCTATAATTTTAACTGATGCAACTTGATCTGTTCATAATAATCCAGAAATAGAGTAGAATCCAAACAAGCTTTCTAAAACTGTATTGCATATCATATACATTTGAACATGTCATAGTCCCTTAGAGTTATTGGCGATTACAGTAACATGTTTATTTGTTTTTGACTGGACTTTTTCTTGGGAGTAGCCCCTTAGCCTTTCTCCCCTTCCCCATCTCCCATCCATACAAAATAGTGATTCTTACCTCTGATTTTAAAAAGCCATGTACGAGATGAACCCAAAGAAGTTTAACAGGCTTTCTCCACCACATAGATAACCCATAGACTAATCCACAGCAAATGCATATGGGACAATTTCCTTTCCTTTCATTCACTCACGTGGAGCCAGAGGCACTATTGGCTTACAGTCCTATGCCTGCCTAAGCTCTTATTCTGTTGAGGGTGGAAGGTCAGAGTGGGCAGATTAAAGAAGTAGTGACAGCCAGGATGAGAGTTGCTTTACACATCCAGAGTCTGAAGCTTGCATGAGAAAAACCTTGGGCGGGGGGGGGGGTGATAGTGGAGGGAGGAATAGGGGGAGAACGGGAAATCACTGAATGCTGACACTCTTGTCTGCAAGAACTTGTAAGCAGACCCAGGGTAAAACAGCAGCATGGTTAGCCCCTCCCACACAACTATCAGTTCCACATTTCATATCGAGCTTTCAGAAAGAAAAAGAAAAATAGAAATAGACCAATGTCAAGTATTCAGCAACTATAAAAAAAATATTCTAAAAATAGTTTCACAAATACTTCTTGGAACCAGCAAACATAAACCTACTAGGGAGACTGACAGAACACCAAATTTGTATCGCTGTAATTTAAAAGATGAATTTGAACCACTGTGTCTGTTTGCAGCAACAATTTGTTGACAGGCTGGTGATGATGGGGTGGGGGGAGAGAATAACCTTTGCAATTTAAAAAGGAAACATTGATCCCATTTATCACGTTGCTGCTTCTCAGATACAGGAATGTGGAGGATCAAGAAACTTAACAGTATGTCCACTGTTTCTATCTGTAAACACTCACTAATTCATACATACATAGATGAACATACGCAAGCACTTAGAAACGTACACATGATTCAGAGATACAACAGTTCTATCAGTTATAAACAACAGAGATTAGGAATAGCTTTTCGCTCAAAAGTGGCTTTGTAGAATTTTAGGTTTTTTTCAGCTGAATTACACCCCCCCACCCACTGCCCATAGGATAGCAGAAAAATACCTCTATAAATACACTTATATGCATGCATGAACTAAAAACAGAAATTATCATTTATATATAGGAAATATTCGCAATCATACAACTAAATTATATGGTAAAGAAACTTGATAAATATATTGTGGGATAAATTTAAAAGCATAGCCAATTTATGAGCCATCTACCCTCTAATAGTGCTAAAGATCTATAGGTATATTGACTGCCTGCTTCTGAAATGTCTACAAGATCAACTTTCAGTAGATAACTACTTAAAGTCGCCTTTGAAAAACTACCATACCTTTCTTAAAAAAAAGTTACAACAGCACAAGCTCTAGGCTGCCCTAAAGAATGTGCACCACACAAAACTAGCTATAAATTAAGTTATTCCAGAAATCCTGTCAAAATAGGTCTACATTAAAGAAATCTTCCAAAACAATGACAGAATTATATGTAAACAAAAGCATTAAAAAATGTTGATGTTACAGTCTTCAAAATTACTGCCTTCAGCATTTTCCCCCTTTTGGAAATCCAAACACTTACAAAAAAAATCAGATTGTTTGCTAAAATGAGGAACTTCATTTTGGCGGACTTCTGTTCGCTTTATAATTTGGCAAAAGCAGAGACAGCTGAGGGAAGAAGAATCTGAGTTCCAGTGGACAAATCCACACACTGCAGTCTCTTCTCTGCCTGCTCTCTTACACATTCTGTCCATCTCCCACTCAGTACCACAGCAGCGTCTTGACAGAATGGCAGGAAACACGCACTGAGTGGTCAGGGAAGGAGATGATGTCAGCAACCACGAACAATAAAAGGTGTAAAGGTGCTTCCTTCCTTAAACTGTTCCAGAAGTGCAAAATGGGAACCAAAACTCTTCACTTCCTTCTCTGAACAGACATTTTTGAATCTGTTCTGCTGCTATACCTCAGACAAGGGACCTTTTGAACAAATCACCCAAGGGGCAAGAAGGAGAATCAAAATGGAGGAGTGTAAATGTTTAATTTATAAATAAGGAAGCAACTAGGAAAGAAAAGTTTTTATTTTTTTAAAAAAATATCTATCTGTATATTAAATTAGATATAGTCACTGCTTTTTCCCATCCCTTGCCCTGTTTTGATTTAACTGCTCGTACCAACAGCTGCCTCTAACTTTGAATGGGTAGAAATCTGATAAAAATGTTTTGTTTTAAAAGGTAAACATTTTTTCTACTGTTTTCTTTTAGACATGAAAAAAACAACAACCGCAACAAAACCCTACATGTGCATTGACATCGGAAGATAATGTTTCATGCATATTAAAAGAGGAATTGCAATATGATGTAACAAACACGGGTAAGTTTAGCTAACATTCTTCAAAAGAAGCTTTACAGTACTGAGATTTTGCTGTGTGAAGCTATGAATTGAAGCAGGAATCCTCCATCTCAACATGCAAAACTCTAGCTGTAAAACAGAGTGATAAGGATGCTGACCAAGGTTAATGTAAGGATTGACATGGCATTCATTTACATTATAACATGTATCAGCTTTCCCCGTAAGAAGGAATTGGATAGCCAAACCCAATTCAACAGGACATAATCTTTACTAAGTCTATAAATCAGTGCCTTGTAAGATAAATCAGGCTGAAAGAGACAGAGTTGCCAAAGCCACATGTTTCCCTGCTGATTATTAAATGGAAATGACCCTAGTTCCATTCTCTAAACATGGCACAAAGAGTAAGTGCTTTATAGACAAGTCTGGTGTGCTTCTGTTCGAGAAAACACTGAGCCAATGAATGTACAGGCCAATGCATACAGCCATCATCAAATTAATTTTCTCTGGCATACCTCACAAAAAGCTTAAACCAAAATTTGGCTCTTTAAAATGATCTCTTCATGCACTTTGGTTATAATATTCAGATAGGACAGTGGAGGAATATGTTGTTGAAAGGTCTGGAATTTAAACCCTGTCACAATCTTAAGATATTTTTTAAAAATAAAATGATGTATTAAGTAGTGTATGTAACTGCAGAAACTGTCTAGAATGCCTAAAGTTACTTCAAAATTATGTTGAAAATGTAAAGAATTTCTATTATGCTTGGTGGACATTAAAAAAGCAGAAAGTTTTCAATTCAAATGATACAAATGATTTTAAAGATTAATATGCATTTGAAACCAGAGGCTTTTCTCTGGGCAGTTATTTATAAACAATTAGAAAAGAGTCAGGGAACTTTGTTTTTATATATGGTAACAGCAGCAAGGTTATTATATGCACAGAGGTGAAAAGAGCCAATATTACCTACAATGGAGTAATGAATGATAAAGAAGATGAAACTTGTAAAGATGGCCAAACTAACATTTTTATTAGAGAAAAAACATTACGCAAATTTATGGTTGACTGGAAATCCTTTCTAGACTTGTGTAGAACAGAAAAAGATGAATTTATGACATGATTTCAATAGTTCAAAAATAGATGTTAGGAAAAAAAAAGAAATTCATGATATAACCAGAGTAAGAGGTAATCTATATTATTCCATAAAGAAAATCAGAAGCTAGTTCTTTATACTTTCTTTTTTTTCTTTCTGTTTATTTCTTTATACTTTCTGTTTTCTGCATTTATGGCTTTGTCCTCATTTTTTCCTATCTTTTCTTCTTTCCTTATTCTTTATATTGGTTTTTTAATTTTCATCTTGCTTTAAAAAAATAATATTTTTATTTTCCATTAAAAAAATAAAACCACTTCTTCATTACAGAGTTATACACTAGATGTCATTACCGCTGCACTAAGACACAGAGACAGCATGCTCACTATAAGGAGAGATCTAATTTGAGAAGAGAATCATTATTAAAGAAAAGAAAGAGGATCTGGATCTTTATAACATTCCAACATCTGTCCCAAACATTCTAGTGCAAAACCTGAATACAATGTACATTTACATATTTCCATCTTACAGCTAGACAGCCACATTAAAATATGGGGAAAGGATTTCATTTCATAATTCATTTCAAGATAACATATGCTTACAACAGAAAATTTGCCGTAACCGTGGATATTCTACAAGAGGTATAGCTTAGCCTAGGAACTGCATAATTTGATCAGCAATGAACAGAAGTCTTGAAACAATCTTTCTTAAATGGATACCCCTTAGAAGTATTGGATAATGGTTCTTTTAATTTGTCATTGGATGACTAATTAAATGAGCACCTAATGAGCTTGTAAAATTTTATGCTATGTTCAGATTTACTTTTATTATTTGTTTTTTTTCCATTTCTGTATTAAAGATAACACTTTTCTATTCAATTATAATTACAAAGTCAAATCTTTATAGATGAAACATCACAGTTATTTTTATTAAGGACGTTTTGCTAACCGTACCACAGTCTCTCTTTTACTCTGCTTTACTTTGTTCTATGCCACTGAGTATTATTATATGATATATTGTCACACTTTTAATGTCACTCCCAAAATGTATTACTGGAGGGCGCTTCTGTGTTTCTTTCTTTTCTGCTTTTAATGACACATCACTTAAAATTATACTAAATAGGTAAACACTTATAAACTCATGTGTTCAATAGATAAAAATAAACAAATACAGCATTTTATAGGAAGTGATGTAATGTTGATAAAGTGATGAACCTGGTAAAATAGGCAGGTTCTATTGCAATCTGAGCCCAAACCTTTCTATTTCACAACAGGCATATTTCATAGTTTGGTGCCCTGCTTCACAAGAAAGCAACATTTTAATAAAATGTTCAATTGCACTGATTTATTTACTCTCTAAATATCATAAAGAAGCTATTACTCTTTTACTTCATGATTCTAGTTCTTATTCCATTTTTACTGGAAAAAGAACATGTTTTAAAGACTTTCTGGAAAGCAATGACGGTTCAGGGTAACCTCATTACGGGAGGGATAACGTTCCAGAAGGCAAAAGTCACCACATACCGCAGACAGGACCAACAGCACATGATTCTCATACTGGATCTAATAGTTTCGATAGAGGTGATCCCTCAGATAACCTGGCCCCTGTTATTATGTTCAAAATGTTATTTGTTACAAAACTAAAATTTCCTTAGCTCTTTGTTTGAAAGTTGACATCCATGACTTCTCTGACAGTTCCGTGTTTTAAACCTAGGCAGTAAAACCTGTCATTGATGCTGCAAACTGAAAATAACCAAGAGTTGAGCCAACTTTTCAAGATTTTACATAAGCATGCCATAGGTTTCTGCCAATTTAAGACCACTACTTAAGTTCATTTGCCATCTAATCCTTTTTTAAAAACAAGATTTTCAGCTAATCTAAGAGTTGATTTCATGTAATCCCTGTAAGTCTTTGCAGTAGCTTTCAGAGACAAAAGCCTGATCTACAATTATTAAAACCCAGCAAAAGCCAAAGAAGGAAGCAAACAGCTTTTGGGACATACTGCTTTAGGACTGACTTCTGCCAATCAGCACATAACTAAGGCAAAACCAACAAAATAGATAAAACAACCCTGGATGAAACATTACAGCCAAACGAGCTCAGTAGGTCCATCAGGAACAGGCACACAAACAGGGCAAGCCATCAAGCAAGTAAACCCCATTCCCTTGTGTCCCTGATGATGTTATCTAGTTTGGTAATGAAATATTTACATGAAATAAGCAAGCACCAAGATCCCATAAAGCTTTATAACACTTAACTCAATGTGACACTCCACTCAAAACAAATTACACACATGGGTTGGATATAATATCAATTATATTTAATTTTAATTCAATGCAAATACAAATTTAAATGAAATACAATTTATTATTTATTATTATTTAATAAAATTTATATGCCGCCCAATCCCTAGGGACTCAGGGCGGCGTACAAAATTAAAACAATAAATATAACAATAAAACAATAAAATAAGTGCATTCATACAGCATGTCCCAATTGTATCCCGCCCCCCCCGGGGACATCAACCGCAGGCCTGCCGGAACAGGAGAGTTTTAATGGCTTTCTTAAAGGCCAGCAAGGTGGGAGTAGTTTGAATATTGGGGGGAAGTTGATTCCACCAGGTCGGAGCCACCACAGAAAAGGCCCTTCCCCGAGGGCCCGCCAGCCGACATTGTCTGGCCGACGGGACCTGAAGGAGGCCCAATCTGTGGGACCTCACCGGTCTCTGGGAACTATGTGGCAGTATGCGATCCTGTAAGTAACCTGGTCCTAAGCCATGAAGGGCTTTAAAGGTGATAACCAACACCTTGAATTGCGTCCGGAGACCCACAGGAAGCCAGTGCAGCTCGCGGAGGATAGGTGACACTTGGGTGTACCTTGGTGCACCCACAATCGCTCTCGCGGCTGCATTCTGAACCAACTGCAGCCTCCGAACGCTCTTCAAGGGAAGCCCATGTAGAGCGCATTACAGTAATCCAGTCTTGAGGTGACAAGGGCATGAGTGACCGTGAGTAGAGCCTCCCGGTCCAAATAAGGCCGCAACTGGTGCACCAGGCGAACCTGGGCAAAGGTCCCCCTGGCCACAGCCGATAGATGTTGTTCCAAATTTAGCTGTGAGTCCAGGAGGACACCCAAGTTGCGTGCCTGCACTGAGGGAGGTAAATTTACCCCCCCAGGACTAATGATGGACCATCAGGATGACCCTTGGGGGGCAAGACCCAGAACAATTTAGTTTTGTTCTATACCAGTTGTTCAACCATTTTTTACTTGCATCCTTCTTCTGACCTTGGTTTTCTCCTGTGGGCCTCCTAGTCCAGATTCCATTATTGGGAACAGACATGGCACAATAATAGTATGTTTTCCGGCATCAACAATCATATTTGCAATATCATACTCTTTACTTTTCAGGGACACACTATGCCCCTATTAGATATTTTTTACCTGTGGCATCCTTGAAATACTCTAGATCCCCCAGGGAGGCCATAGTTGAAAACCATTGTTTTGTAGACCAGTGGTTCCCAACCTTTTCTATACCCTGCACCTCTAGAACGCTTCTAATATATTCTCACACCCCTTATAAAAGTTTGAAATAACGGCAACAAATTATGCATATACACTATAATTTTGAAAACACAAGTTTTTGCATCTCCTGGAATATCATCTCGCATCCCTGGTTGGGAACCCCTATTGTAGACAAACTCAAATGTTTGGAAACATGGCTCACAACCCTGAAATAACAACTACCCATTTGTCTACAGAACCTGTATGCCCCAATGCTGATCTAGGAAATGTTACCCATACAACAGGCAACTGAATTTTGGTTCCATTTCAAAATTTGGCAGAGATCTGAAAATAGCATCAACAGGCAAATTATTAAAAAAAACACCATGCTGCTACCTTATATCTAGTTGGTAAGGACTATATTCAGGTAAAATATTTATTCAAGAAATCTCTATAATGAATGAAACTGTACTGCATAGGTGGCCATATAAGTTTGTGTGCAAAGAAATGGTAGGTCTCCGGATACTGCATAAGCTGCCAATAATATGACCAGAAAGGATCTCTTTAAGAAAATGAATTTCATTATTACACAAAACTATAAATATACTTAATTTACATATAAATACTGTTATCATTTAAATTTTTAAGTTGGTTTTTATAACCAAACATTTACTTGTTAAAAATCTTTGTCCCATTGGAAGATATCCTTCCTTTTTTCACTTCAGTGATCACTGTCAATATTTTTCATTTTATTATTGTCAGAGGGAGTACACTGGGAGAAAAAAATAACAAAATCAATTGGAAGATACATTAGCTAATCTTTCGGCAGCCTTCAATTACATTAAGTTTTCCCAGAATTTTTTTTCTAGCCTATTAGTATACACAGCAATCCCTGACAAAAATCGTTCTTAAAAGCAGCAAAGTGTGATAAAAAGGGTGAAAAATATTCTTGTGCAGGCAACTTGAATCTTTGACACAAAAGCAGCTAATATTACACAGTAAATCACTAATAGATTAGCTTTGAAGTTTAAGCACAGGTACAATATTTAAAGTAGAATCTTTCAGTTACGATGGATTGTTAGATTGATCTTTTTAAATAGGAAAGTAAAGTATACTGAACTGAAGATGTTGATTCTCAGAAATGTTTAGTATAGGTAGTTGCTTATAAAAACCAAAAATTAATTAGATAGAATAATCAAGAACACAAATTCCAAATGCTATATTTTAATCTCTTGTGGATTATCCATGTTTGATTCTTGCATATAACCAAACAAGAACCAGAATGCTTGTCTGTCTGTCTGTCTGTCTGTCTGTCTGTTATATTTATTGGAATCACAGACCATCCAATTTCCAAATGACTCTGCATAGCTTACATCTCAAAAGTAAAATAAAAGGAAAAATAGAGATAAACATTTGGAAAAAAATAACCCAAAACAGGAAAAAAAGAAAACAACCTAATAGGCTCAGCAATGTTCCTAATCCTTTTTTGGTATGCATGCCTATCTACTCAGAAGTACAAATAAATTTGATAAAGCTTATTCTGAGGAAAGTGCATATACAATTGCCACATAATATTAACTTTGTGCATAATTCTCTTTTATTACAGGGGACACATGTGAAAACTGATGTTGATGGGTAGTATAGAAATGTATTATTAAAATAAGTATCATCACGCAAATACATACATACACTGTATAAAAGCATCTGATAATACTAGTAATGCAAGACTCATAATAGGTATCACTTTTAGAATTCCTTCTTTTGTCTTATAGTAGGCTAATCAACCTAATTAAAGCTTTGTTCATTTGGAACTTTAAATGACAATTTGCTTAACTCAATTCCACTGTGGTACTTGCATAAAGAGAATT